CCATTTTCATCCGAGTACTTGAAGATGTTGTTATGAATTTTTTACGTCCAAAGATTACCCCATTTATTGACGAAAGACAATTTGGAAATCGCAAAAATTCCTCTGTAAACCATTACCTTACTAGCTTAATGCATTTCATCCATAGTGGTTTGGACTTGCCAAACAATATTGCTACTCTGGTAGCGATTGATTATAAAAAAGCATTCGATTTAATAGACCACACAATTGCTGTGAACAAACTGATTGATATTGGAGCACCACGTGAATTAATCCTATGGATATGTGATTTTCTTTCGGAAAGGAAACAACGTGTTTCATATAACGGCGGTTTCTCTGAATGGCAAGGAATAACCTGTGGCGTACCGCAAGGTACAAAATTGGGTCCAATCATCTTTCAAGTTTTAGTTAATGACTCTCTCAGCGGTTATAATAACCGCTGGAAATACGTGGACGATTTAACCTTATGTGAGGTATATAAGAAAAATGAAGCGCCTAGTCTACAAAATCAGTTAAATGAGCTCGCGCGTTGGTCATCTGAAAATAAAATGTCAATTCATCCAGAAAAAAGTAAATGTATGCATGTATCCTTCAATAAAACCGAACCTAATTTCCCAATCTTAAGTATTAATAGTAATATCGTAAGTGAAGTTTAATAATCAAATAAAACTATTAGGGGTGGTTTCTGTCTCTTATACACATCTAGATGTGTATAAGAGACAGCCACAGTCCTGGCCAATCTGTTAATTCTCACTTTGTACTCATCCAGTACCTCCGCGAATCGGTGGACATTATTATATGTGGCGATTTTAACGAAGTCAGGCATAAGATAGGACGCTTATGTTCAGCAACAGGGTTAAAACAGATTGTAAAACAACCCACAAGAGGAACTAATACTTTAGATTTAATTGTCACCAACCTTGTCAGTTATTTTGAAGAGCCATTAGTTTTTGCTCCGTTTGGATTTAGCGATCACGCAACAATATGTTGGAAACCAAAGCCATCGTTCATCGGCATGAAAGGAAGCATTGTAACTAAATCATTCAGACCGTTTAGTGAATCTAATGTAAACGCATTTGGCAAGTGGATTACTAATAAAGAGTGGCATGAGGTTACTAATGCGAACGATGTAAATTTAAAATTAAATATTTTTGAACGGGAATTAAATCACGCATACGAACATTTTTCCCACTACGAACAATTCGTGTACACTCAACGGACCAGCCCTGGATTACGCCTAAAATAAAAACAAAAATTAAGGAAAGACAATTAGCATATCACAAGTATGGACAGTCTTCGAATATTTACCGCAAGTATAGAAATATCGTCAAATGGGAAATTAAACAAGCCAAGATTAAATATTATAAATATGAAGTAGCGCATTTACTAACTTCCAACTCAAGGCAATGGTTTAAACAAATCGTTAAAATGTGTGGAACTAGTAAAAATAAAAATGATTCATTAAATCTGAACATTGATGAATCGGATCCTGAGAAAATTCGCGAAGTGATTAACTCGAAATTATCTGAGATTTGCCAACATTTTGAATCGTTACAAATAAATAGGTTATCGACGTATCTTCCATATAAATCGCCTCCACCTACGTTAACGTTTTGGGAGGTGTACTACCGATTAAAGAAACTGAATTGCAATAAAGCTGCAGCTCCAGGCGATCTTCCTGTACGGTTGATAAAAACTTTCGCGTTCAAATTAACCGTACCCTTGGTGAACATATTTAATAAATCACTCGCAATTGGAAAGGTGCCGATAAGATGGAAGGAGGCCACTATTACACCAATTCCTAAGGAGAAGGGTACAATAACCCTTAACCAGATTCGCCCTATTTCCATCACATCCATTTTCATCCGAGCACTTGAAGATGTTGTTATGAATTTTTTACGTCCAAAGATTACCCCATTTATTGACGAAAGACAATTTGGAAATCGCAAAAATTCCTCTGTAAACCATTACCTTACTAGCTTAATGCATTTCATCCATAGTGGTTTGGACTTGCCCAACAATATTGCTACTCTGGTAGCGATTGATTATAAAAAAGCATTCGATTTGATAGACCACACACGTGAATTAATCCCATGGATATGTGATTTTCTTTCGGAAAGGAAACAACGTGTTTCATATAACGGCGGTTTCTCTGAATGGCAAGGAATAACCTGTGGCGTACCGCAAGGTACAAAATTGGGTCCAATCATTTTTCAAGTTTTAGTTAATGACTCTCTCAGCGGTTATAATAACCACTGGAAATACGTGGACGATTTAACCTTATGCGAGGTATACAAGAAAAATGAAGCGCCTAGTCTACAAAATCAGTTAAATGAGCTCGCGCGTTGGTCATCTGAAAATAAAATGTCAATTCATCCAGAAAAAAGTAAATGTATGCATGTATCCTTCAATAAAACCGAACCTAATTTCCCAATCTTAAGTATTAATAGTAATATCGTAAGTGAAGTTAATCAAATCAAACTATTAGGGGTGGTTTTGAGCAATAATCTAAAGTGGGATGCCCATATTAACAAAGTGTTGTGTAAATCAGGTAAACGATTAAATATAAACCAACTTAGACATATTTATACTTCATTTATCAGGCCTATAACGGAATATGCTAGCCCAGTATGGCATACATCCTTAACTACTAACCAAATATATGAATTAGAGATGATACAAAAAAGAGCCTTAAAAGTAATTCTTGGCCAGAACTATGTTCCATATCCTACTGCGTTACAAGCCCTAAATTTGACACGATTAGATGAGAGAAGAGAAAAACTTCTAATGAAATTTGCCAAAACGCTTAATGATATTGTGCCAAATGCAATTAGAAAACGGAGGGGTGAACTAAGTAAGAGGTCACTGAGAAATGGGGGAAAATTGATGAATATTTTTGCCGTACAGAACGATATAAGAAGTCAACCTTCCCATCAATTTGTAAAAATAAGTGAGAGGTTGCCTTTTATTGCCATAATCGGTCTTTTTTACAAATGCGCTTTGTTACGATTGAAATGAATGTGTTGGTGCTTGTTTGTTTTAAGTGATTATTATCTGATTTAAATAATTGTATATAAAATTTTAATTAATTTTAGTGTATTATCTAATTTAAATAATTGTAAATACAATGTTAATTCCAGTGTAATAACAAATTTAGTGCCTTATTAATTTTTATTGGGATGTTGTTGACTTGTTTTTTTTTTATTTAATTCTAGTGCATTATCTGATTTAAATAATTGTTAATAAAATTTTAATTAATTCTAGTGTAATATCAAATTTAGGCCTTATTAATTTTTATTGATGTTGTTAACCTGTTTTAGATGTTATGCATTCGAATATTTTAGATATGTAATTCAAATTTAGCCAATTTGTTTTTTAAATATTTTCATTTGTTGTTGAGTGCAATCGTTTTAATTAATTTATAATTGTTTTTTATGTCGAATTTTGTTAATATTTCTCAATTCAGCCTTTGTGTTGCCACGAAATATGTTTCGATGTGAATAAACCAGAATAAA